GCCTACCAAACACTTGTTGAAGCGTCGAGTTGCCAAGTCCACCGCACTCTGCAAATCCCTAGAAACCGGAAGCCGCCACGAGGGAGGAAAGACAGTGCACCAAACTTCCTGCACATATGAACACTGGAAGAACAAATGAGCCTTAGTCTCCAACACCTGTCCACAAAAAGAGCACAGCCCTACCACTTTAGGATTCCAACGCTTTACCACATCCATAGTATAGATGCGCCCCAGTAGAATCAACCAGGTTATTGTCAAGTTTTTGGGGATACCACCTTTCCAAACCAACTTTGACCACTCCACTACATCCCCCCGTGGCCTAAAACTGTTCCAGACTCTACTGATCTTGAACTTATCCATCAGTTCTCCCTCCCACTCTAATCCTCTGCTAGTTATACACATTTTTCCCGCTATTTCACTCCTTAGTTTTAGAACCTTGTTCCACACCCAAGACCCACGAGTGTTGACTTCCCAAATGCACAAATTCCTGAGACGATATTCCTTTAACCAGGCTATCCAAAGGGTATCAATGTCTGAAAGTATCCCCCAGATGTGGCGAGCAAGACAGGCCTTATTCCAGGAACATAGATCCTTGAATCCCATGCCACCCTCAGTCCTAGGTAAGGCTACTATTTTCCATGAAACTTTTGCTTTCCTCTTCTTCGCAAAGTCACTCCAGAGAAATTGTGAACAAATCCTCTCAATTTCCTTTATCACCTTTTTAGGCAGTAGGATTACATTCATCCAGTACTGCGTCATGCTTGCCAGAACAGAAACAACAAGCTCAAGTTTCCCAGCATATGACAACAATTTTGGCTGCCACCCTGTGATGCGTCTCCCAATTCGATCGACCAGGTTCTTGCAGTCAGCAGCCGATAATTTCCCTGCAGTTAGAGGCAATCCTAGATACCTGACTGGTAAACTGCCCGCTTGAAAACCAGAACATAAGACTAGTTCCTCTCTCAAACTCACAGAGACCCCTGCACTAAAGATTTCACTTTTACTCTGATTACACTTTAACCCTGAGACAAGATAGAACTTGTCCAGCACTTCAGCAACCACAGACACCCCTCACCCACCAGAGTAAATGCATTTATAGGCTACATGGTGGTGGGTGAGTTACATGGTGACATGACTACTGACATGTCAGAGGTTTAGACCACACCTCTACCTAGGACAAGTGCATTTAGTCCATTATTATACCTAGGACTATGATGGTGACCACTCATTGGGGAACGCGGCGTCGTTTCCATGGATTGTTGATCTAGTCAACGCTGGACTCAAATGTCGTCGTTCGGTGTTCGGGGCGCAGCTTTGGTAGCGTCGGTGCTAACGCGCCCAACTCTTCTGGCGGTGGCGCCGGGGTGCTTCCTTGGTGCGGCGAGATCCGAGTCATATACCAAACAGGTACCACTACTTTGGATTACTAGTTTGAAACGCTACCAACGGACACCTCTTTAAACACCCGTCAATCCAATGCCGCGCACTAATCACTTTCACTGTCAGAAAGGGCGGCAAAAGAAGAAGCTTGAGTATGTGTGCTGCTGTGTGCGAGTAGTATTGTGTTATATTACGAGTATTATTATGTAAATGGGTAGAGTTATATTCCTTATTAGAGTCGTAAAAGTTAGGTAATTTTTTATTAGTATTAGGGTTATTATAGAAGTCAGTCTTTGTACTCTATATAAACAAATCGTGGTTCAGTAATAAGACACAACAGTTTCCACCGTATTTCTGATTTACCAACAGCCTGTGCCTGTGACGTAATTTGTCACATGTGTCGTAGGTCTTCCGGCGATGTAAACTGAAATCCCGCAATTATAATTATAATATTATGTATGAACTCGCCAATATTATAAATAGTTCTCATTCCTTATGAGAGAGGGACTAGTGTGCTAACACTTTTTTTGTTAGCATTATGCTAACACTAGCTCCAACGAATAGAAACATTTCATTTGCAGTCTTTTCAATTAAATGAGTTGACCACAATTAATGAAGGACAGAGGAAGGAGAACACATTGGTCATTAATAAAATTTGGGGAAAAGGAAGTGAAAAGGAAGTGAAGTGAAGAAGAACACATTAGATCACCCATTCTTGGTTACTAATGGTAATTTTGGTTATGGAAAAAAATAGGTATGAATGCCCACTTATGAAATCACTACTATTGTGGCAGTGTTATTAAGACTGAGCCAAGTTGGCTGGTCGCACCGGTAAAACCGGCACCTGTTTGTCATTCCGGTTTGGTCACTCAAATAACTGCAGCGGCTAAAAAGGACAATTTTCGAGCGCCCGGAACAGTTAACTGTTCGAACCGATAATACCGTCCGACCAGTTTTGACATCTGACCCTTCTGCAATAAAAAGAAGATAAAAGGAGCGAAACTGGAAACGAAACGAAACTAAAATCCGCTAAATTCATATCCCCGCCAGTGCATCACCACCATGTTCTTCTCATCTCCGTCGGCGCCAATCACTCCTTCGCTTCCACTATGTTTTTCCCTTATGATCTTTCAGTTTGTTTTTAATTTTGATTCTTTCTTTTTTTTTTTTTTTGTGAAACAGGGAGGAAAGATAGAGAGGAGGTGTAACACCTTAAGCAAATCCAACATCGACAAAGCACGGGAGAGATTCATGGTTCATAACTAAGAAACCGACCTTAACTGACAAGATGCGTTTTGGGGTTGAAATGGAGGAATTCCTGTGAGAACTCCGAAGTTAAATGTGCTCAGTGTGGAGTACAACAAGGATGGGTGACCTTGTGGGAAGTCACCTTGAATTGCATCCCAAGTCGAAAACCGTGAGGGTCGAGGTCCAAAGCGGACAATATCTTCGTCGAGAAAAGGTTTGGGATGTTACAAGTGGTATTAGAGCCTCTCTGCGTCCCTCTTGAACGATGGTGGGGCAAACCTCAACGACGACGTTGAGTCCCAAGGGGGTGTATGTAACACCTTAGGCAAATCCCACATCGACAAAGCACGGGAGAGATCCATGGTTCATAAGTAAAAAAACCGACCTTAACTGACAAGACGAAGTAAGTTGCCTTCTAGCACAAGCAAGTTGCCAGAAAAACAACCTTTGTAGCAGCTTCGATCCTTTTGTTTGAAGCCTTCCAGATATCCAATATTTCATCCAATGTCTTGCCTTTGTAGACAAACATACCTACTTGCACATGGTAGAGGCTCCTGGACTCGACTCTCATCCATGCTTCTCGAACTGAGCTCCAAAATAGTATTCACAAACACGTTCCCAGACTTTACCATTTTCAGGTAGTTTCCAAGTTTTGGTATAGCCTTTTGATCAGGTTGAAAATTGGTCTTCTGGACTTTCTATCGAGCTCCCAAGTACTTGAATGTGTAGAGGGACACTCCAGCTTCAAAACAAGCCATTAATCTCCAATTTACATTAGGCCAATTGTAAGATACGAATCTCAAAAGTAGGCACCATGAAACTGTTTTTACACTAAAACAATAGATTAGGTCGACCTAATCCTAACTGAGGTCAACCGAAAAGTGCAAGTTACGGTGACTTGCAAGTCACCATAGCGATGTCCAACATAATTTTACTAAGTGATACTCATAAAGTAAATTTTATTTCAGCTATTAAATTGTTAATTTGTTATCTTATGTGTCTTTTACTTACGATATTATTGTTTATAAGGTACCGGTTCTCTAACAGTTTTTTAACGGTCCAAAACCGTTTGACCACTAAAGTGCGAGCCGTTGACATTACCAGATTGTGCAACATTTTGGTTTTGAAAACATTTATTTGTGGTATGGAGATGGAAAACCCGAGGATATATAAATGCTACAATTTTGTTTAATAATTAATACTAGTTTTTTTTCACCCGCGCTTCACAGCAGTAATAAACCAATTATATTTAAACTTCAAATAATTTATAAAATAGTAAGGTTGAGATACCTCCATAAGCTTTACGTAGTGTTTTAATCATTAAAAAAGACAAACGACACGTTTGTTTAAGTGATAAATAAGAAATAACAATTTTTAATAAACATTCCATAGTGTTTTAATCATTACAAAATATCAATTTTGTTGATACATAGGAAATTTTTATCCTTCAATAGGTTTTACGTAGTCTTTTAATCATTAGGTATAAAAACATAACACCTTTTAAATTTTTATATAAAAATAAAGATCCATCCATAACTTTTATGTAATATAATTGTAATTTGCATAGGAGTTATAAAATATTGTTACATAAAACTATTGTAATGGGTGGACTAATAATAAAATTAAGATATATAAATTATCAAATTTTATTAAAGTGATATGTAAAAACTAAATTACTTTTCAAAACCTTTGTATAACACAAATTGATGAGATGATCAATAGATTAGTAATAATAATAATAAATTATTTCAAAATTATATTATGAAAGACTTACATAATAAGTTTTTTTAATTGAAAAATTATTTATAATTATATAACTATTTTAGAATAGTGTTGCACAAATCTTTCGTATTGTGTGGTCTAATAATTGAATTGGGTTCTAGAAAATATCACATTTGATTAAAATAGTTTGTAAAAAATAATTGACCATACAAAATCTTATTGTAATACAAATAATATTTAGTCTATAGTAAAATTGGTGTAGGTGGTAAAACTTCTTGTGAATATATTAATCTATTTAAACCATCTCTTATAGTCTTATGCAATACTTATGTAACCACATTCACATTCCTAATTGCCATGTAAAATATAAATAGATTACGGCTAAATTACATGTTTGGTCACTCAAACTATAAAATTTCTTCATGTTTGCCATTCAAATCACTTTTCTTTCTTATTTGCCACTAACTTTACAAATCATTTCACCGTTAGTCACCGGCCGTTACACCCTGTTAAATTTGTCCTACATGACAATCAACTATAAAGGTTGACCGTTAACTATATGACATGGAAATTAAAAAATTAAAAAATATTATTTTTACATCTCATCATTCCACTTACTTTGTATATATAATTTATCATATTAATTATTTAATAAGATTTAATTAAATTGAAAAAATTAATTATCAACCGAGGCCTTCACGTGGTCTTCCTCCCTTTGATGGATCAAGCCCACATGATCCCAATGACAGACATGGCGAGGCTGCAGCTTAATTGGGTCTTCAAATCCAAACCATGGAATTCCCCTGTGCCGAGGCTGCCGGAAGGTTGCGAGAATGCCATCAAGTCCCCTGACCTCATGATCCTGTTCTTCAAGTCCATGGCCATCTTGCAGCGACCCTTCGACGATCTCCTCCGGCTGTGGCGGCGATTAATTCGTCGCCAACACATGGTCTTTGCTGGGCTACAGAAACCGCCGGCAAACTCTGCATTCTGGGCTCTTCTTCAACGGAACACGATCATTCACCGTATCTTCACTTCATACCTCAAACTCCACGAGCCTTACAAAGGCGTGAAATCTGCTTCCGATTCCGAACCCTTTTTTCTCTCTGGCTTTCTGCACGAAATCCAATTGACCAAGATACAGCTCCCGCCTTTCCTGAAAGGCGATGAATCTGATATCGGTATTAGAGAACTGCGAGAGCAGATGGAGGAATTGAAGGTCAACAGCTTTGGTGTCGTGGTGAATAGCTTTCCACTGTCGCCGCCATAGATGAACATGACCATGGACCCGATTCAGTTCTGTACATGTGCTTTGGGAGCATATCTGCCATTTCGAATGCTCAGTTGTGTGAGATTGCTGGTGCTCTGGAGGCGTCGGAGGATAGCTTCATCTGGGTTGTGAAAAGGGGGAATTCTGACGAAGCAAAGATGCAGAAGAGTAATAGGGGCTAAATCAACGAGGCCTCTGCAATTTATTTCTCCGGCTAATAATTAATTTTGGTAATTTATTAATTTTTATTATATAATTAATATGATAAATATAAGTGAAATGATGAGGTGGAATTTTTTTTAGTTTTTTAAATTTCCACGTCATCTAGTTAACGGTCAACCTTTATAGTCGACTGCCACATAGGACAAATTTAACGTAGTGTAATGGCCGGTGACTAACGGTGAAACTATTCGTAAATTTAGTGGCAAATAAGAAAGAAAAGTAATTTTGGTGGCAAATGTGAAAGAATTGTATAATTTGAGCGACCAAACGTGTAATTTAGCCAATAGATTACTTAAAGGTTACATCTCAACGATGATTTCTTAAATAAAATGAACATCATTGCATAAAACTTAGGGTTAATATATTTGTATGGCCTGAACTTTCCACATAATAAACATCATAGTCAATCTTTTTGATCTATAACATCATGGCCTGAACTATACATCAAATTAACGAAAGTGGCCAAACTCAAAAAATTGAATGTTTTCTTGGACGGTCTAACGCATTGACTAACGGTCAACGCGACACGTCACCACCTTCCACTTAATTTTTTTTAATATTTTCCACATATTACTATTTATTTTTTCATTTTGAATAAAAAATATTGAAAATGCATTTCGGGTCCTATGAAAAAAAATTCAAAATTTTTTATTCAAAATGAAAATAAATAGTAATAGGTGGAAAATATATAAAAAATTAATTGAAAGGTGCTTACTTGGCGGTGACGTGGCATGTTGACCGTTAGTCAACGCGTTTGACCGTCAAAGATAACAGTCAATTTTTGGGTTTGGCCAATTTCGTTACTTTGATATATAGTTAAGGCCATGATGTTATAGATCGAAAAAATTGGTCAGGATGTTTATTATGTAAAAAGTTTAGGCCATACAAATATATTAACCCTAAAACTTACTTAGCACCATTTTACAATTGTTACTTAAAATGCAAATACATTATATAAAGTTTACGGAATGAAAGTTATTTGTAATCATTTAAAGAACCTATTATGCAATGCTTTTATTTAAGGATTGTAAAACCGTACCAGAAGTTGTACCGAAAAAGTCAACGATATGGTATTTTGTAACGAGATGTGATTTAACACTGATTCAAACGTTTCATACCGCTAAAAACCATATATCGGTTTAGACTCTGATAGGACCGTCGATACGGTATGGTATTTTAATCCTTGCTTTTGCGCTATGATTACCTATAAAAAGTTTGAATCATAATTATTATCGTCAATATAATTGGATTATCATGAGTACAAATATTAAATGGGGTAGACAGTGAGCTTTCGTGGGTGGCAAACTGGCAATTGTGGGTGCCCAGAAACAAAGGGGTTTTGAAAGCATCACTTGCCAGTTGCCAACCCAACAAAAAATGACGGTAAAGCGTTGTGAAATAATATAGACTTGTCCGCAGGAAATCCACTCACTAATGAACAGTGAAACATGATTATAGTAGACGCGATTAATTCGTAAGCAACCGTGTTTTATACTTGCGCCATTAATTAATTAAATTAATTAATTAATTAATTGAGTATTAGACCAATCCAACAAAAGAGAACAACCTTGAAACTGAAAGCATAGATAAAAGCCAGATGATCATAAACGATTACAACCCCAAAGCCACACGATTCCAAGCCATTGCACAACAATCATAAAAGACTACCAAACTCATTTATTCGGACAACGAATTAAACTGGATGTCCTAGATGTAGCATATAGATTAGCACCTCCCAGCTTCTTTGTCATAGACAATGGTGGCATTCAAGCTTCCAATGTCCCTGGAATAACACGCCTTGCCACTGTAATCAACATTCTGATAGCTGTATGACTGCTTCATAGCCTGCAACGGTTCGAGCCTCTTGTAATTGTTGACAACCCAGACGCTACTTCCACTCTGTTCATCTTTCAAGCTGCTGCTCTTCGATTTGGAACTCGAACTCGACTTCTCGTAGTACGATGTCTTCTCGTCGCTGTACCCTGTGCTAATATTGTTCGTTATAAGAAAATTGCCATCTCCTTCCACCAGTACTAGTTCATCATTCGTCGTGAGGCTAAAGTTCTTCATCGACTCGAACGAGTAATGGTCGTCGTCGTAGTGGTCGTCGTTAACAGAATTCGTCACAAATGATGCAACGCTGTCGTTCGAAAGAATCAACTGCTCCACTGTGACACTGTAGTTGCCCCGAGAGTCGAACCCGATGTCCATGTAGTTGGTGTAAGACAAGTTTTGTTTGACATGAGTGGTGACGTTACCGTGCGAGGATTGTACCCACCCTTGTGAGGATATCATCCTCTGTGCACCGACCCACGATTTCCCGATTAATCCCTCCATCTTCACCGTCGATGATAGATCGAGCGGCTGGCTATAGCTCGACACGAGCTCACCCTTCGTCTTGGTACTTTTTCGGTCCAACCAAAGGTGCAAGTTTGCATCGACGTACCATACGCTCACAGCGTTACCTATGCTGAAACTCAAGTTGTGCACTCCTCCGTCTAGGAGAGTGCCTAAAAATGGAGTTAATTCGACGTCGTAGGAAGGGAGATCGAATGAGCGAGTGCTGGCGATGGGATTCCATAGACTATCCGATGCGCCATAGATCACTGGGTAAGGCCAGATGGAGCCGACTACCATGTCGTCAAGGCGGATCACTACATCTCTGAATGGTCCATTTGCATACAAGTCCACGAATTGGTTGGAGTTGTAGTACTCTGAGGGATAATTCGAGTACCAGAATTTGTCGACATCGTGGGACGACACATAAACCTCCAGCACGGCCCTGTAAGCATTTTGAGGAATCCTGAATTCCTTTAGCTTTGCATCAGTTGAGTTCTCAATTTGGAACCACAACCCGTCTCTCGATTCGAGATTTCGAGAAATGGGTAGTATGAGATCAGCCATTGATGACTCGCTTCCGAATCCCAAACTAAATTTGTTTGGAACGTGCCCAACTCTATGTGACTGCTTGTGCTGCAGGGGATAGTATGAGATGCTGATTGTGACGTGATAGACTGAAGTGAAGTCGAAGAAGTTACGACCCGAGTTGCGAAAGAAAACGGCGAGCTTCTGCGTCTGTTTCTTGAGCAACAAGGAAGAGTACCTCGTGATGTCCTTACGTGCTGTCCAAGCAACTGATGTATTGAAACCTTGTGCAGGGGAGCTCCGAAGAAGCTCTACACCGGCCAACCAGACACCGAAGACCGTGTCCTCGCGTGTCTGGTTGCAGGCTCCCTTCCATTCCATGACGATCTTAGAGAACGCAGTGGAAGCACAACGCGAAGGAAGAGCGTAATCGACCACGACCGAGGGGTTGCCGCCCTGGCGATGGTCAGTAGGGCCAAATTCGTGTTGGAGGAGGAGTTGCTTGCAAGGCACGGTATTGGGGACATCGATGGGTTTGGTTACTTGGAAACCTGTTTTTGGTTTGGGAGACTGTTTCAAAGGATTGTCTGCTGAGAGTTTCGAAAGCACGTGTCTTGGATTCAGGCTATGGAGATTTGGGTTGGCTATGGAGTTGTAAGGGCACAAGATTAGGAGCAACAGAAAAAGAAGTGGAGAAAAGCCAGCCATTGCAGCAAAGTTATAACTAAATCGTCTATGAAATACTTGCAACTATCAGTTTTATGTTGAAGCTATATATCTTAATCTGATCTACGTTTCCTTTTATAGCAGAATATCAAAGGAGACTGTTACATCAAATATATATTTGATAATGCTGGACGTAGCTTTTCCCATCAGCTAGTCCATTTCCAACATTTTGCCGGCTCTCAGAAAAGAAAAATTGGGTAAAGGATATGGAAAGAATATATAAAAGGACAAATAGAAAGGAGATACAACAGAAAGTTGATTAATTTAATTTGCATTGACTGGTCTACTCGATCGAGCAGGCTCCTCCCCCTTGCCTAGGTAGTCGGTAAGAAATTAAGTAAGAAAATCAAGCCGACGAGAAGAATTTGGAGGCAAGCAAAGTCGAGCTCTCTGAGACTAGGTATGCATATATAGGCCGAGCGGCTCGACGCTCGACTTGGAAAAAGCTCGTTCGTAATTCAGCTTATTACTAAACGAGCCGAGTCTGAGGTCATATGTGTTTGGCTCATGAGGTTCGCGAGCTAGCTAGACTGAGTGGCTCATTGAGTTCAATTAGTGAGTTGGTTTGACAGCGTGGTTAGTGAGTCAGTTCGACTAACGACTTATGAACAAGTCAATATAAATAACTTATGACGTGACTTCTTAATAATTTATACGTCTATTAAATTATATATCTCATAACATATGATATTTTAATACTTTGAGTATGTGACAATATGACACATTTATAATTTGAATGAAGAACTATGGGTTAATTACATGGTTGGTCACTGAGATTACAAAAAACGTTCAAGTTTGGTCACCCGAAATATTTAAATTCATTGGTGGTACTTCACTTTACAAAAACCGTTCACGTTTGGTCACTCTCCGTTAGTTGCCGCCCATCTCCGTTAAGTGATGAGGTGGCGGACGGAATCGTCTAATCAGCACTATTTAACCCGAAAATAGGTTGACCCGACCCGCCAGCTCTTCGTTTTTTTTATTTTATTACCGATATTCGCACATTGGGGGCGAGGGGCCGGGAACAATGAATATTGACTGGGTCTAACCGGTTCAGTCCAATAAAGAACATCTAATTTAACATTCAACTTATGGAAGTGGAAGATAGTTACCTTATGGTGGGCGGCATGCATCTTGTACGTAAGCAAATCGAATCAATAATAGCTGTAAATTATATTTATCCCCAAATGCAAAAGTAACAAACAAAACGAATACTCCAATTTCTTTAAAACGAAACGAAATTAGCGATACTATCGAGCATTTGTCAAATTCATAGCATCTTATATCCCCATTTTCTTTACTGGACAAACATAAAACGGAATCCTAAGGAAAGAAAAGTGTTATTGCCTAGACGTTATTTTTGGAATTTTGTTTTTAATTATTTGGTAATTCTAGAGATTTTTTTTTATGAATCGGTATACTTTCATTTCATCAAAAAGGGTTACTGGCAACACCCTTGCCAGCTGGAGA